TGTCTGTAAAGTGGGGGCTGTACAACCAGTGAGATTCTTGTGGGATCTCAAGGTTTGATCCACACCTTTAGGTTTAGGAACCTGGACAGGCTTTTGTGCCTATAACACTGGGGCCTCGGGCACCTCCCCAGTAAGCGATATACCCTTGGGTTTTGTAGCCCCCAAGCCCACTTCCAGGCCCATTCCTTGAAGGGGCTGGTGGAGACCAAGGCTGACCCGGGCCCTGGTTTCCTCCCTAGGCCACTGGGTGGGGAATGCTTTCTTGTCCCACCTCTTTGTGGGCAGAGGCAGATGCGGGTAGGGATTCCAAATGAGGTGTTCAAGTGCCCTTGAGTCGCTAAGCTGACCTCGTAGGGATCTCAACCCTCCATATCAATGGCATTCCTGCCCCATCACAGTCTCAGCTTCAGGCTTCAACTGTAACCCTTGGTTTTCCAGATGCAGTTGAATCCAGGTGTACCAGGGGAACTCAGAGAGGGCTTGGGGCCTCCTGGCCTCTTTCCAAGAAGGGCTGAGGGCAGGAAGTCCACTCTTGCCCAGGTGCCCCAGGAATCCGTCCCCTGCCTATGAATCTCCCTCTCCCCCCACCCGCAGTGGGCAGCTCCTCCAACCACCCCTTCTGGCCTCTCTGTTTCCCAACAAATTGCCCCACTTCTACTCTCCCTCTAGCCAGCACCTTATCAAGGAGGGAGAAGAGTGGGCGTCAAGTAGGAGGAAGCTGAAGCCACCAGACCACCCTGGAGGCACCTCTGGGGGACCGGTCTCTGGAGGTGGGGGGGTGGGAAAGGGAGGATGTCTTCATCCTTTGGACACCCATCTCCCACGTGGCTGGCCAGCTCCTAGCAATGTGGGGTCTCCCCCTTCTTGAGTGTAGATATTTGGGGACAAAGAACTGAGATCTGAATAATACTAGGGTCCCCTTAGTGCCTTCTTGGGATGCTAGGGTTACTCGTGTATGTGTAGCGCAGACAAGGCCCCATGACAACACAGGGGTCAGTGCCGCAGAGCTGCCTGTGGAACTGGCGGGCCCTGAAAGTGAGGCCTGACTGCGGGCTGACCAACTGTCCGATTCCCCAGGATGCAAGACTCAGTCCTCAAACCAGAGTGTCCCAGGCAGATCGGGACCAGTGGGTCACCTTATGGCCAAGACGGGAGGCAGACTGCGCTGGGCCTGGGGGCCACCAAAGGCCCCGGGCTGGGGCTGCCCAGGATGGGAGGCCTTGTGGGCGGGTCGGTGGGCCCTTCCAGAGACCCAGACTAGCTGACTGCGCCTGACATCTGCCCAAACCTGTGCAGCTGGATTCCTGGCCGCCCTGCCGACCATAGAGGAGCTTATTGAAGGCTTGCTTCTATTTGCCCTTCTGCTCAGCCACCCTTCCTCCCCATGCAACTGAGGCCTCAGGGGCTGGAGGAACTGGGCAAACCCTGCCCAAGATATTCCATGCCCATCACCGCCTGTTGTCATCAGCACTCCCCTCACAGTCCCCAGATGTCCAAAGGCCACCAGGTCAGCCCCTCACATTGGACAGCACTGCCCCATGGCCCTGTGGGGAGGCACCAGGTATAGAGGAGGTCCCCATCACAGGGGCCCACTTGCAGACCCATGGATTACCTCTGGCCTCAGTCTTCCCATTTTAGGGGGATGGGTTCTCAAACTTTCAGGGTCAACCACCCCTTTGGACTGTGGATGTCCTTTGCAAATCTGCAGAAAATATAAACCCCTCTTACAAAAATATCCTAAAACTCACTCCCAGAGCAATGCACCAACCTGAAGTTGGAATCACTTATGAATGAAACCCCACTGTGGCAGGTGGGGACACACCTAACACCCTCCCCTCCGCTAGGGTTGTAGGTGGTGCAGTGACCAGGTGGGGGTGGGGGTCTTCCCAGCCCTCCAGGACACCTCCTCCGCAGGGCAGTCAGGCCTCTGCTCTCGCTCAGGAGGGTGGAGTTGAGAGGGTGTCCCAGGCGAGGGCTGTCTTTGAGAGTCCTCCCAACCACCCCGAAAAGTGGAATTTTCATCAGTCTCCTCCCTTTTCGTACAATTCTCAGTTCTTCGCACCCAGGGAGGGGCTTGAGGGAGTTCATAACCCATCCCTTAAAATGAGGGGCTCACGTTTGTGGGTCTCAGGAGGTTTCTCAAAGAGGTCTTTGACCCAAGGAGGTTAAGGAACTTGACCTTTTTTTATCTACCCCAGGCGAGAGGGGCAGGGTTTCAGCTCTGGTCTACGTGCCTCCCTTCCCCGCTGCCTCCCACAGCGGGAATCATGGAGCTCTGCTCGGTCTTGAGGTCAGGGTCTTTCCTGAGGATTCTGAGGCAGGGCTCAGAGAGACCAGAGTCCCCTGGGCCTAACTCCTGCTGCCTTCCTCTGTGGCGTCTCACCCAGAGCGGTCACTCACTCCCCACGGGCAAGAGGCGCTCCTGCCCCTGGGGCTCTTCCCCTTTCACCCATGCCCCGAGTGCCCCTCCCCCTCTCCCACAACAGGCTCTTTATCCTCTGGCCTCTAGAGACTTCACAGCAACTCACCGTGGCCCCCAGTTTCAGTGGAGGGGGTGGAAAGGGCATACCTGAGCTGAGGTATAACTGAGGGGGTGGTTTTCTAGGCCGTTGCCTGGACGATGCCACCTGAGCTGGGCCCCCGACTCCTGTCGCCTAGGGAACGGTGCGGGCGGGGCCCTTCCCTCGGGAGCCGCTAGGGCCTCTGGGCTGAGACTGGAGACAGATCGAATTCCGGAGAGTCCTAGCTGCGAGGTATGGGCGGGTGGGGGTGCGCGATACTGGGGAAGCTGGGGTACGTTTGCAACATCAAGAAAAGAACCAGCCCGGGAGAGCACGGGCGGCGGGGGAGGGGCGGAGGAGTCTCAGGAAGGGGAGCTGAGCCCCTCAACTGCCCCACTTCTTTGTCTCGAGCCAGTTACATTTCTTCTCCCAAAGCCGATCCTCAGTCTCACCATTCCTTTTTTCCCTGGGTTCCCACAGGTGTAGATGTTCTTCTCTCCTCCCCTGTCCCCTCCTGGTGACGGTATACCCTCCCCGCCAAGTCTGAGTCCCCCTCCCCTCCCAGCCCCGCCTCCTCCCCGTGGCACTGCCCCCCCCCCCCCCCCCCCCAGTCTTGGCCTGGCTGCTCCTCCCCTGCCTCCGCCTTAAAACCCCGTGCTTGCTGCCAGGAGCCGGCAGTCCCCAGGCGGCATCTCCTAAGGGTATACTGCTCAGCGTGAACCTGCGCCGGCCGGAGGGGACGAGGCGCTCTCCAGCCTGAAGGTGGGTTGGAGGGTAGGTTCTCTGTAGCCGGTCAGACAGGCAGCGGTTGGGGCGTGACTGCAGGGTGGCAGAAGAAGCAGCCACTGGGCAACTGATGGGCGACGGGCGTCTCGAGGGGATACCAGCCACTCAGCTGAGCAGGACTGTGAGATTTTGTGTTTGTCGGGGGCCAGAGACACACTTGTGTCGGGCACAGAGAGAGGAGGTGCCTTGCAAGAGGGCCACAAATGCGAGAACCGTCCTGGCCTGAGGACACCCTCCGTTCCTGGCTGGCAGCGAGACCCCTACTTGGCAGCATCTGACGACTCACTCTTCGGTTTACCAGACCACCAAGAGTTGAGAAGACCTAACCGAAGGGGCAGATGGCTTCAGCTGGCCTAGAACTCCTGGGCTTGACCCTGGCCGTGCTGGGCTGGCTGGGGACCCTAGTGTCCTGCACCCTGCCCCTGTGGAAAGTGACCGCCTTCATCGGCAACAGCATCGTGGTGGCCCAGGTGGTGTGGGAGGGACTGTGGATGTCCTGCGTGGTGCAGAGCACGGGCCAGATGCAGTGCAAGGTGTACGACTCGATTCTGGCGCTGCCCCAGGACCTGCAGGCTGCCCGAGCCCTCTGTGTGGTTGCCCTCCTGCTGGCCCTGCTCGGCCTGCTGGTGGCCATTACGGGAGCCCAGTGCACCACCTGTGTGGAGGACGAAGGTGCCAAAGCCCGCATCGTGCTCACCGGGGGGGTCATCCTTCTCCTCTCAGGCATCCTGGTTCTCATCCCCATCTGCTGGACAGCCCACGCTATCATCCAGGACTTCTACAACCCCCTGGTGGCTGAGGCCCTCAAACGGGAGCTGGGGGCCTCCCTCTACCTGGGCTGGGCAGCAGCTGCCCTGCTCATGCTGGGGGGGGGCCTTCTCTGCTGCACATGCCCCCCACCCGAGATCGAACGACCCCGAGGACCCAGGCTGGGCTACTCCATCCCATCCCGCTCAGGAACCTCTGGGATGGACAAGAGGGACTATGTGTGAAGTCTCCGGAAGCCTGTGGCCCAGAGCCTGGACTTTCTACTGGATGCCTTCTCTAACCCCTGCCTTCTACCATCAACCCCTTCCCCACATGACACCCACTTCCCAGGAGCTCCAGCCAGGCTTGGCTTCTGGGCTTGTCTCAGGTGGCCTGGCTGAGCCCATATCCTCCTCAAGGGGGTCCCTACCTCCTGGCTTGCCTTGCAAAATCAGTTGCCTTTTTTCTGCGGCCCAAGTCCTGGGTTGGCCCTCCTCCCCTGCCCCTGGAACCTGGGCCTCACCCAAAGGGCAGCAGCTCCTTGGCTCAAACAAGCAGAGGATCATGCTCTGCCCGCCCTGGAGCTGGTCCACTCCAGCCTGGCCACCCACCTGCATTCGGAGACCCTGGCCAGGCCCTCTGGGAGAAGCCAGACTCCTCCAGGCCAGAAGGTCCACCCTACTCCCCTGCCCCAAATGGAGTTCCCAGAATAAAGATCATTTGTACCTCTGGCTGCCTTGATCTGTGATTGAGCAGGGAAGCCCAGGTGACCTCCCCCGGGCCTTCAGGCCAGTATGCTCCATGTCCTGTCCTGTGGTTAACCTTACTCAGCTCCATGCTAGGCAGGGAGCAACTAAGGAGGCCAGTCACTCACGTTCACTGCACACCAGGCTGGAACCCAACAGCTTTCCAGCAACACCAATGGCAAGTAACAAACCGAAACAAAACACACTTTATTTAGTAAAAATTGCTGAGTGTGGGTGTGGCATAGCAGAAGTGTACAGAGCCCAGAGAGGAGAGGGCCAGAGTCCCACAGTATGGCTGAGACGCAGCTCTGGGCCGAGGATGAAAGGGCCAGAGGTCAGAATCTCTGGAGGTAGGAGTTCTCTGGTAACTTATCACCTGCTCTTCTCAAGGCCTGACCAGCAAGGTGGAGCTCATCCCTGCAAATCCAGGGTGGCCCTGCCCCAAGAGCAGCAGGGACTCTTGGGGACAGACCATCAAAGCATCTCGTCACAAAGCACCTGGCCAGCCCGGACTCCCAGATGGGAATGTCCAAGGTGAAGAAAGATCCAGAAACTCTTCCGTGTTGCCTCCTTGGTTCGCTCACCCAAAGACAGGCCAGCAGCAGAGCCCAGGTGGGAGTCTGTTTCTTCTTGGTTCAGTGTTTATCAAATGGATTAAAAGGAAACCCCCACTCCCCCAATAAAAAGGAAAAAACGAAAGCAATCAGGAAACTGTTGTGCATTTTGATGACTCCAGCTCAGGGGTAGGCTCCATTGTCAAGGGAGCCCGCACTCTCCTACCCACATCAGACGTAATTCTTGGTGGGGTATTCAGAGGGCCCCTGAGAGTTGGCGCGTGGCGCGGATGTTGAGTACCGGGCCAGGTAATGGCTGGAGCCCCGAGACCCCCCAGAAGGGCAGGTGTAGCACAGCAGCCCCCCACCCAGCAACAAAAGGCCAGATGCCGCCCAGCCCAGGTAGAGGGAGGCCCCCAGCTCCCGCTTTTGGGCCTCTGCCACCAGGGGGTTGTAGAAGTCCTGAATGATGGCGTGGGCTGTCCAGCAGACGGGGATGAGGGTCAGGACCCCTGAGATGACAAAGATGACCCCAGAGGTGAGCACCAGATGGGCCTTGGAGTCCTTGTCCTCCACGCAGGTGGTGCACTTGGCCCCACCAAGGTAGATCAGCAGACCCACCAGGGCAACGAGGAGGGTGATGACACAGAGGGCTCGGGCAGCCTGCAGGTCCTGGGGCAGCGCCAGCATCGAGTCGTACACCTTGCACTGCATCTGGCCTGTGCTCTGCACCACGCAGGACATCCACAGTCCCTCCCACAGCACCTGGGCCACCACAATGCTGTTGCCGATGAAGGCGGTCACCTTCCACAGGGGCAGGGCACAGGACACCAGGGCGTTCACCCAGCCAAGCAGTGTCAGGACAATCCCCAGTATTTGCAGACCAGCAGAGGCCATGATGAGGGTGAGGTTGAAAGCTGTGCTGAGGGACAGAAAAGAGTAATGTTTAAGACCAGATGGTCCAGATCCCTCATTCCTAACGACTGCTAACCCCGATGCCAGGTGCCATGGCCACACAGAATACCAAGGGTATGACCCCTGGAAGTTGGGATGCCATGTCCTGTCCCTGAGCCTCTTTTCTCATGGGCAAAATGAGCATCAATGCTTTACCATTTATTTTTTTTCTTCCCTAGTTATGTGACAGGCCCTGTCTTACAACAGTGAATAAATAAGCCACCTGGTCCTGGCTGTTTTGAGTACAAATGAAAGATAATATAAAGCCTAAGCAAGTGTTAGTTCCTGGCTTTAGCCACTATGGGTACATTTTATCAAGCAGCAAAGTAACAAAAAGGGGATGAAGTGACAGTGGAATCTTTAGGTATCTTCCACAGGGTGTATAGACAGAAGGTTGGCATGAGCTATTGAGTTTCAATCTCAAAACCACCAAGATTAGAGACCCAAGCTTTCTCCCACCACCCAATAGGAGTGTCCAAACCCCTCCCCCCAACATGGTTCCATACCTCAGCCAGGTGGTTTCCAGTTTGATCTTCAAGATCTTTGTGTTCTGGGAGGCTCACCAGTCCCCACTTCACCTGCCCTAGCCCAGCCCACCCAGCCCAGCCCCAGCCCACAATCCCTGAAGAGGCAGGAGAGATGAAGGGGGAAAAAAGCTTCTCACCCAAAAGCACTTCCTTCCCTCTGGTCACTGGCTGCCTCTCTGGATCCCACTCTTCTGCTCTCCCTTTGGGGCCACAAAACATACCCCCAAGATCAGGGACATTTTTCTTGTGTATTTTTGCCCCAAATGCCATCCTCTCAGGATACAACTTCCCTAAAAGGAGCTAAAATCCTTGGGGTCTATCTAGCGAACCTGTTAGCTCTTCTACAGCAGCCTCCCCGCACCTGTCTCCCTTCCCATCTCAGCGTTGGTCTCCACCCGATCAGTTCTGTTCGGGTTCTTGTTGTGGCTCTCGATTGCCTTAAGTTCCCGCGCACCACTGGGACCGGCCAGAGGGCAGGTTCTCCTTTCACCTTTTCCACTGAGCCTGAGTTGAAGATCTCGGGGGAGATCAGACGAGGTGGGCCACCCCTCGCTGGTCCCAGTGCCCTGTCTACACCTCCAGGCGTCCGGCAGAGTTAAAGCCGAGGCCGGCCAGCCTAGGCAGCTCGCACCTCGTCTGCCCTCGACCCATTCCCCTTCCACACACTGTGGGCCCGACTCCGAGGGTGCTCCTTCCCGCTCCCGATTCCTACTTCCCTTGGGAGTCCGGCCCGAAGGTGGGTGTCCTCAGCTCCCCGACAGCCTGGAAGCCACTGGACAGGTAAAGTTTAATGGCGGCGCCCGCCTGGGGTCCGCTCCCGCAGGGGAGGGGGAGGGGCGACGGATCCAGGAGCAGCGCAGGTGGGGGAGGGGCGCCCGGGTTTCGGTGCCTTTGTCCCAGGGGAGGAGAGGAGGGGGGCGGTTAACCCCTTCCGAGCAGCCGAAGGACCCGATCTGTCCCTCGCTGGGGACGCCCCGACCCTGGGGGCCGCCGCCAGATCAGTCCAGGTTGTCCACGCTGCCCGTCCCCTGCACCCCGTTCCTCTAGGTGTCCACCTCTCCCTCCCCAGGACGCACACTGCCCCGAGGCTCACCTGAGGAGGAAGGAGCCCGCGGAGATTCCTAGGAGCCGCGAGTGTGAGGATGGGGCGGAGGCGGGAACTTAAAGAGGCGGTGACGTCACTGGACCACCGCCCCGGGGAGGGGCAGAGACCCCGGTGCAGACCCCCGCGGGCGCGCGGAGCGCGGCCTCGGCGCCGCGGCTCCCAGACTGGGCGCGGACGTGCGGCCACCGCAGCCGACGGCGGGCCCGCAGCGGGGCGGCGCGCAGGGCTGGGAGCTCAACGGACTTGGGTCTCGGCTCCGCCACTTTCCCGAGCCTTAGTTTCATCCTCGGAAAATGGAGACAAGTACCCATTTTACTAGGTAACTATGTCCTAAGGTGGAAATGAAAGGACACATCACTATTTTTACATGGTGCCCCCGGGGTCCTTAATAAGGAGGCAGTGATGCTGCCTTCGGGGGTCTCGCGTCTGACCCCGCCCACGCACACCTCCCGCACCCGCGCGCCGAGCTGGCAGCTCGGCTGCGTCCCGCGGGGGCACGCGGCCGCGGTTTGCAAAGCTACCGACTGAATTTAGCGGGCCCGGCGGGGCGGGGCGGGGCGTCGGGGGGCCGGCCGCGGCTAGCGGCCCGCCCCGGAAGGCGGGGGCGGGGACCCGGCTGAGGCCGTCTGTCCCCTCGACTCGCGGCGGTCTCAGATGGCAGCGGCCGCGGGACGCGCACCATGTCTCTCGGTCTGCTGTGCCCGCTGCTGCGGCTCCTTGTACTGGGGCTCGGGCTGCCGCTGCTGTGCGCCGCGGCTGGGGAGCCGGTGTCAGGTACGCCGGGCGCCGGGCCGGGGCTGGGCGGGAGGGTGTGAGGGCCGGTGGCCCTCGGTGGGGGACCGGGGCCAGTTTTGGGGACCTAGAGGAGGGGACAGAACTGGGGTTGCATGGAATCGGGGGGCCGGTAGTTTATAAACACCGTGCTCCCTGGCCAGGGGCAGTCCCATCTCGCTCCGAGCTTCGTCCCCAGTCCCGGCCTCAGTTTCCCGCCTGTCCAACTCGGACTCGGAAGTGGAGAAAGTTTGGAGGCCGGATGTCTGGTCCGGTGATGGGGGCATGCCCCCAGCTTGGTCAATATTGGGTCTGCCCAGTCCCAGTGACCCGAGTCGGGGGACGGTGTCTACAGAGGCACGGGGGTCTGCGCCCCATACCATGTGTGGTGCCCCCTTCCATCCGGTGACTTCAGTGCCCAGCTATGCGGGGGGGAGGGGAGAGGACCGGGGTCGGGCCCAGTGCCCAGGAATGAGTCACCCGGCGGCGGGGGGGGGGGGCCCACGGGTGTTGTGGGGAGGTCACCCCTCCCCCAGCCTCCCGCGCTATGCCCCTTTTCACCCCTCGCTGCCACGTCCTGGTCAGGCCCCGAGGGTCACCTGTGAGGAATGCGGAGAGCGCCGGTGACTCACGTTATACGATCCGGCGGACCCTGACTTCAGGCCCCAGAATAGCCGCGTCCCAACCCCAGCCTCTGACCCATGGCCCCTTCCTCAGGCACCACTCCGTGCTCTCGTGGCAGCTCTTGGAGCGCGGACCTCGACAAGTGCATGGACTGCGCGTCTTGTCCAGCGCGACCGCACAGCGACTTCTGCCTGGGCTGTGAGTGGAGGGCGGGGCCAGAGGCGAGTGGACACCGGACCGGGAGACAGTTGCTGGGGTCGAGGAGGGAGCAGGTGGTTTCAGATCTGGGGAATTAGGTGGGAAGCAGAAGCGGGCAAGGGCTCCCACTGGGGTAGAGGCCACAGTAGGGGAAAGACTTGAGGGTCAGATCTAGGGGGTGGGACTGGCCCAGAGAGGGTCGAGGTCTGACTTCGAGTCCTGCCCCCAGGCGCAGGGGCCCCTTCAGCCTCCTTCGGGCTGCTGTGGCCCATCTTGGGGGGCGCCATGAGCCTGGCCCTCCTGCTGGGGCTACTTTCCGGCTTCCTGGTCTGGAGACAGTGCCGCAGGAGAGAAAAGTTTACCAGTAAGTATGCTCTGGTCCGTCTGACCCCCCCCATAACTCCTTAATATTTCCCCAGCTCATGACGACCCCTCTTCTTATCTTGCAGCTCCCATCGAGGAGACCGGTGGGGAGGGCTGTCCCGGTGTGGCACTGATCCAGTGACAATGAGTGTCCCAGTCAGCAGGAGGCGGTGCCCACTCTTCATTCATTCATTCATTCATTCATTCATAGCCAGCCCCTGCCTCCCAGACACAGCCAGAGCCAGGCTGCTCTGGTCATGGGGGTGTGCAGGGATGGGGGACAGGTGAATCACTTCTCTGAGGCCTGGATCCAGAGTTCTGGCTCTATGACAGAAGAGGAGACCCAGGCCTGCTCACACCAGATCACTGACATGAAGAAGTGCAACGTTTGCAGAAGGGTCCCCTACCCCCATGGTCTGGGGGTCAGGCTGAAGTGAGGGGCAGAGAGAACACCATGCCCCATCCACTCAGATGTGCTGAAATTTCAGCACTGGGGTCTCAGCCTGGGGGGGCAAGTTAGGGATCTGTTCCTAACCCTAGGGGGCTGGCCCTCTAGGGGGGCTGGCCCTGAGACACTGCACCCTCAACTTTCAAAGAGGGGAGAGATATTTATTTGGGGGAGAAAGTTTGGAGGGATAGGAGAATTTATTAATAAAAGAATCTTTAACTTTAAATGGATTGGAGAGTGGCATGATTCCCCAGTCTGAACTTCCCAGAGCTAGAGGGAGGAGTGAGTCAGCCGCGGGGGCGGGGGTGAGGCTCTGACTCACACATTCTCAATGCTTGAGCCCAGTCTGCCAGGACCTGGGCAGGCCCTGACCGTTTTTTTTTTCAGGGAAGATCTTAAGGAGAAACCCCAGCATTTGGTGCCCCAACCCTGCCCTGTCTTCCCAGGTTCCAGACTGAAGTCATCATCTATCTGTTCAGCATTCTTTATTCAATTCTTCTTGGCAGAAGGGAGGAGACTGCTTCCCTTTCCATGTGGCTGTCCCTCCTGTCCCTCCTACCCCAGGCTCACTGTCCTCTGTTGCCCATATGCCTGGAGGAAAAGCAGGGCACCTGGTCCCTTCATGGTGGTGGTCTTCTCTGTTGTGGAAGAGAAGAAGGGTGGGCAGGTGCACTGCCTGCCAGCACTCAGAGCTCCATTATTTCCCCAGCTGGGGTTGCAGGGTAGCGGGAGGCAGGGGTGTCCCCCAACCTCAGCAGCCGGAGGGCCTCAGGGATCAAGTTTCCAGGGTAGCGCCAGAGAAGCAGCTCAGAGCAAGGGCTCCTAGAAGAGGAAATGACAGGACACAGGGATAAGGCTGGTCTGGCAGAGCCACCTCCCACCAGGTTCAGGTCCCTAGGGGCTTCTGGGCTGCCTCCACCTTCTAAGGAGCCAAGAGGCGAAACAACAGTGGTTGGCTAGAAGTTAAAAATAGCAGGATGAGGCAGGGCCTGGAGGTTGGCTCCCAGACAGGGTGTGATCCTCCACAAGGCGCAGTCAGTGGATAGTGAATGGTGCCTACCTGAGTGGGGGCAGAGCGGGGGAGAAAGCCAGTGGGGTGCTGCAGTAAGGGTGGTCATTATGTAGACTGAGTCGAGAGAAGTGGGTGGCCATATTCTCTTCAGACAGGAACTGCTTTCGAAGGGGCTCCCTGGGGAGAGACCAGGAGGCAGGCAGGCTGGGATTTTCAGCAGGGAGGCAGGGTGATGGGGACCTAAGGTGACAGAGATCTTGTTGGGAGTCCCTCCCTGCCCCCAAACTCACTGCTCCTCCTCCAGGCGCCGCTTGGTGCTCATGGGCACAGCTCCTCGGAGAGGGGAGCTGAGAAGAAAAGAGAGCTAGGTGCACCCTACCCTCTTGGCCAAGAACTGCCAGCGTGAACATGGAGAGTCAGCCAGGAACCCCCCAGTCCATCTCAGCTGACTCCTAAGTCACCCCCACTATCCCGGGCCATCCAGCAGCCTGCCTGGGAAGTCTCCAAACCTGTCTCAGCTCATGCCCAAACCCTGCTGATTCGCCGCACCGTGTTATTCTGCAGACAACCCCTAAGCCCCCAATCAAAACTCCTTTGGCTCTGGGTGGCTCCTGCCACCGCACACACACACCTCGCGTCCAAGCCTCGAGGCGTCCCTAAGGCAGCTCGCGGGTCACCCTGGGCCCCACTCGGTGGGTCTCGCTCCAGGGCCTGCTGAAGGATCATTTGAGGTTCGGGGTCCCGCGGACAGAGGGTTGGGATCCACAGGCACAAGCGGAGCTCCGAGGGCGTGGCCAACTGCGAGAGGTGTGGTTTCAGGCGCGCGCAGCGCGACTAGATCCCGCGCAGGCGTGATAGAAGGGCGGGAGCTACCGGAAAGCGGGTCCGCGCTGCGGGTGTGGGGTAGGGGTCCGGCGTAGCGGGTTTGCAGTGGGCGCTACTTTGTGTCGAGCCGGGGGGGGGAGGGTCTTCGCGACATTCACCTCGGCTCCTGGGTTCTGGTGGTACGTCTGGTGGACCGCCTTCCAGCCGAGCCAGCTGGCAGTATTGAATCGGTGGGACGCTGCGAAGGTGAGCGACCGAGGGGCACGTCCGGACTCGTGAGGCTGCGTCGCGCGCGGAGCACTCTGGGACTTGTAGTTGTCGAGATGGAGCGATCAGTGCCGTACACGGTGCCTTTGGGTCAGGTGAGGCGGGCGTGGTTCGCGGTGTCTTCTGGGGTTTGTAGTCCATGCCCGGTTCGGAAGGGGCAGGCAAGGAGTCGTGACTTGAATACTATTTTGCGTGGGCTGTGGGTAGGATTCGAACTCTGACCCCGAGCGGAATAGTAACCCAGAACTACTTCATGGGTCTAACATGAAAGTCAGAGGGTAGAGATTAGAAGGTAGTATGTTTTTCTTCATTGGGGTGTCAGAGCCACGTTTTATGAGCTTTCAACGAGGCATCCCTGTGCGAAGCTCTTTATGTACAGTAGTTCATACATTGGTAACAGGATCTCCCGTGAGCTCCATTCAACAGTTGAGGAAACTTGGAGGAGAGGCTGGGTGCATGCTCAAGGTCCTACTTGAGGATGCAAATAGGACCTTGAGCACCCTGCATCAAGCACCCCAATCCTGTCCTCACCCTCTTCTTGGAGCAAAGTCCAGGACTCTATGGGCAGATGCCCACTTGGTGGGTCTCAAAGGTCTGAGAAGTATGGGCAGTGGCTGAACTGGCTAGGGAACCGGGAAGGAGGCTGTGGATTAGGGTTCCCAGACTTCATACAGCCTCTCCCCACAGAGGGAAGTGTTTCAGGCGCTGCAGCGGCTGCACATGACCATATTCTCCCAGAGTGTCTCACCCTGCGGGAAGTTCCTGGCATCTGGCAACAATTATGGGCAAATAGCCATCTTCAGGTACCCTTGTCTCCGCTCCCCAACACCCACTGGCTCTGGCATTTGGCCTTCATAGGATTCATGTCCCTGCTTCTGACCCACACATCCTCTCCCCTTTCCCCTTCAGCTTGTCTGCTGCTTTGAGCTCAGAGGCTAAAGAAGAAAGTAAGAAACCCATAGTGATCTTCCAAGGTGGGTACAGCCATTGAGTTTGGCTTAGGGGATTGCAGGCTAGAGGAGGGGAGCAGCACAGGTCACTCAGGTTCTGCATTTCCATTTAGCCCATGATGGGCCCGTCTACAGCATGGTCTCCACCGATCGACATCTGTTCAGTGCTGGAGATGGCGAGGTGAAGGCCTGGCTTTGGGTGGAGATCCTCAAGAAGGTAAGGAGTGCGGAGCTTGGGGTGGGGGGCACTGGGGTGCTAAGCCCCATAGAGAGCCTTTGAGGTCACCCAGTGTTCCCCTCCACGAAGGGCTGTAAGGAGCTATGGCGTCGTCAGCCCCCATACAGGTAAGCCAGGGCCACATGGGCAGAGGGCACATGGGGGTGCAAGTGCTGCCTCACCAGAGATGACCCTGCTTTCCCTCCCCCAGGACCAGCTTGGAAGTGCCTGAGATCAATGCTTTGCTTCTCGTCCCCAAGGTCTGAGCCCTTTGTGACTGGGGTTCTACCCTACCCTGTTTTGGGCCCAAACTGATCCTTGCCCCCCTGTGCCTGTCCTGATTGACATTGACTGCCGACCTCACCCTGCCTTTCTCTGCAGGAGAATTCCCTCATTTTGGCAGGGGGAGACTGCCAGTTGCATACGATGGACCTAGAGACGGGGACCTTCACGGTGAGAGGGCCCTGGAGCTGGATGGTGCGGGGGGGGGGGGGGGGCATTCTTCTAAGGTCTCATTCTGATACTTCCCCTCTCCTTGCAGCAGGCACTCCGGGGCCACACAGACTACATTCACTGCCTGGCATTGCGGGAGCGGAACCCTGAGGTGCTGTCAGGCGGTGAAGATGGGTCTGTGCGGCTTTGGGGTAAGGGAGTATCTGGTTGGAAAGAAAGATGGTGGTAAGGGAGGCTCGGGTGAGTAGGGTACCTGTCATGGTTCTTCCCCCACAGACCTCCGCATGGCCAAGGAGGTCCAGACAATCGAGGTATACAAGCACGAGGTGAGGGCATGCCCCACACCCTGTCTTCCCCTCTCCCTGAGCATCTCCTGAGTCTTCATCTCCTCTCTTCCTGTCCTCCCTCCCAGGAGTGCTCAAGGCCCCACAACGGGCGTTGGATCGGATGTTTGGCAACTGACTCAGACTGGATGGTGAGCCAGATAAAGTGCAGGATGGGGTGGCAGCTCCAGGCCCTATTAGCTGAGGGCCTGTAGCTTTATGGTGGCTGGGGCCCCCCACCTTTCTGCCTAGGTCTGCGGAGGAGGCCCAGCACTCACCCTCTGGCACCTCCGATCCTCCACGCCTACCACCATCTTCCCCATGTGGGCACCACAAAAGCATGTCACTTTCTACCAGGACCTGGTGAGGCTCTCTGTCTTCATTTTGCTACCCCTGCCTGGTTCTTGTCTCCAGCCATGACCCCTAAATCCCCTCCCTGCTCTACAGATTCTGTCAGCTGGCCAGGGCCCTTGTGTCAATCAGTGGCAGCTGAGTGGGGAGCTTAAGGCTCAGGTGCCTAGCTCTTCCCCAGGACTGCTCAGCCTCAGCCTCAACCAACAGCCAGCAGCACCAGAGTGTAAGGTGGGTCTTGCAAAGAGCTGTGGCGGTCCTGGAAAGCCGAGAGTGTGGGCAGGTCCATCACTCTTCTCTTGCCTCCAGGTGCTGACAGCTGCAGGTAGCAGCTGCCGGGTGGATGTGTTCACCAATCTGGGCTACCGCGCCTTCTCCCTGTCTTTCTGACCTCCGGCAACTCCCTCCCCCCACCACTGCAGGGGTCTGGACTGGTTTGTTTTTTTTTTACAAATAAAATTTCAGGCTTTTCTTTCATGTGCTTTATTCCCAAGAAGGGAGACTAAGTAGGTGTAATGTTTATATATTACTCTGATCTTGATACATAAATAACCATCCCTTCCCTTTCCCTGGAGCATACCAGGGCCAGGGGGTCTAGTGCTTAGAAAAGACCTATATAGATTCAAAAAATAGATAGCTCAGCCCCATCTGCTCCCACCACCAACCTGGGGCCTCCTGACTCCCAAAGTTGGGGCTTGCTCCCAGTAAGTCCCTGCTCAGCCACCTGGGGCATGGGAGGGCACCAACCCCCTTTGGAAGACAGTTAGGGCCCTGTGCTCCGTTGGCTGGAAGAGGAAAGTAAGCCAGAGAGGGCAAGTGTGGGTCCCATCGCTAGGCCCTCAGGTCTTTCGGAAGAGGTTGCTGAAGAATCCGCCGGCAGGCCCAGGGCTCCTGCTCAGTGAGAAGTGGGACGTGGGGCGATGCCGAGCAGATTCAGCGTCACTCAGCTCTTTCTGGCGTTGGGAGCGCAGCTGCTCTCCAATTACCACTTGCATGTCGTCCTGCGTGCAGGTCAGCAGGACGGGAGGAGCGGGTCAGTCCAATGGTTCCATCCCCTCTGGCCCCGCCCCCCACTTTCGGTCCCTCACCTGCCAAGCCTCCAGCTCTTGCGTCAGCGCCACCTTCTGACTGATGGTGCGAAACAGCTCTTGGGAGAGGGAATCCCGCTCCAGAGAGACGCGACTGAGCTCCAGGGACAGTTCCAGGGCCCTGCAAGCGACAGGGGCAGAGAGCTGGTTAGAGGGCGCTGGTACCTGAGCGAGCAGGGGGACGGGCGGGAGTGGGACTGCTAACACCAAAACCAAGATGGTCAGAGGGTCCCTGGGTCAGAGTTGGGATGCTTATAACCCTTACCACCCCCGGGGGATCTTTAGCCCTGCTGTGGAGGTAGTGGATAGTGGCAGAGGCAGGCTCACTTGTTCACAGCCTCCTCTCTGTCAGAGAGGGCACATCTTAAGGCCTCCTTGGGGTCCTCCAGCTCCTGCAGCTCCTTCTGCCTTTGTAGCTCCTCCCGCAAGAACTGTATCTCTGCCCGCTGCAGCTCGACCTGTGGGCGGGGTAGGGGGCAGAGAGGCAAGTAGGCTTCTGGGTCACTAAGCCCTTGCTCTTCCTGGAAGCTTGGGCTTCAGCTCTCTGACCACCCTTTCCTTGACTGCTTCACAAACACTCCAGGCAGCTGTGGCCCTGTGCAGGAGTGGAATCTTCTGAGCTCCCAGCCTGGTACAGGGCTAGTTTGGTGATATAAACCTGCAGGAAGGGTGCATGGAGAAGCATTGGGAGGGGGGATTTAGGGGGAAATGCAGTCCATGAAGTCTTCCTGGAGGAGGTGACACATAGACTGGCTCTTGTTGGAATAAAGGATGATCCAGCTAGAGGGAGATTAGTGGAAAAAGGCTCAGAGTTGTAGGTGGAAAGGAGAAACATTGAAAAGGGCTCTGCATCCAGCCCTATGGTCCTATTCCCCACCTGGTCCTGCAGCTGGGCCACTTCCAACTCCTTTTCCAGTATCTTCCCTGGGCTCAGGGATGCTCTCTTCTTGGGAGGCTCTGACCTCTCCTCCTGGGGCAAAGGCAGGTGACTGGATAACTCTGGGGCCTCCGGGGACAGAATGGTCTGTTCATCAAGGGAATTGGTCAGTGAGGTGTTGAACTTTGGAAAAAGGAAAAGGAGTGTAGTCTGCAGCCCTCCTGGATGGCCGTTAGGCCTTGAGCTCACCAGAGTGTCTCCGTGGCCATCTGCATTCTGGTTCTGGTGGCTGTCAAGGCTATGGGCAAGTTCGGACTGCAGGGAGGCCCCTGATGCGTTAGCTTCTCGTAGGCACGACTCTTCCTCCAGCTCTGAGACTCGCTGCTGCAGCCTCCGCAGTGTGCTCAGTGCCTCCCTGGCCTCGGAGCGTGCACATTCCAGCTGTGCTAGCGCCCATAGACAGGTCAGGGCAGACAGACAGACAAGCGGGTGCAGTCAGCCAGGTGAGCCTGCTTCTGGCATCCCCGCTGCTGGCTGGCCCACAGGGGGCGATGGTACGCCACAGAGAGCCAGGCAGTTCACCAGCCTTCACACCCCAGCTTGTAGCTGCTCCCCCAGTCCCAGACTTCATGGACTGCATTTCCCCCTAAATCCCCCCTCCCAATGCTTCTCCATGCACCCTTCCTGGGTGGCCTTGGGCTGGGCACTTCCCTTAGCCTACACCAATTTCTTTGCCTATAAAGCAGGGTGTGAGTGGGTGACCCGGCTTCAAAGTCTTCCATCACCCTCCCTCCAGCCACACCATGTCAGGTAACTTCTCACAAAGCCTGGCCTGGACCCCACAAGTCAACCTTCTAACTCTTTCACTAATTGCTACCATCCAGCATTTATTGAGCCTTCCTTATAACCCAGCGCTGTGCTCAGTGCCTCACACCCTCACCAACGCTCTATACCATTACCATACCAACTCACTAGTGGGGAGACAGGCTGGGCATTCCACAATAAAAGAAAGGGTGCTGGAGCAAGAACTCAAGAAATTTGATCCCAAAGTGCTGACTCTTCATTCCTTTTTCTCCATCTCTACTGCTTCAGACCTGGTCCAGGTCCCCATCATCTCTGGCCTGAGCTCTAGCCTCAGCCCCTTTCTGACCACCCAGCTGGTTGGTTCTGATGCATTCTGAGAATATACCACCCCTGCTTAATACCCTTCCATGGCTCCCACTTGCGTTTGGGCTAGTGCCTATGCTCTTGTGGCTCCCAGTAACGAAGCTCTGGCTTCATCTCCCAGGAAGACCTGAGGCAGTGGCTAAGGCCCCAGCTGGATGCACCCATGCACCCCAACCCCGATGGTCACCTCCAAGCTGTATTCCCGCCTCTCACGCCGCAGTAGCAACAGCTCCTCATGGGTTGCCTGTAGCCTGCCCTGGCCTTTCTCCACCTCCTCACGCAGGTCTCGGATCTGGGCTTCCAGGTCCTGCCGGCGACTCTGCAGCATCTGGTTCTGGGGAAAGGTCTCGGAGCTGGAGGGGAGGTGCTGCACCAGCTCCAGATAGTGCCCAGCAGAGCCTTCCTGGCTCAACAGGCCCCCAGCCCCAGGCAGCACTCACCTCCCCCTGCAGGCTCTCTAGGCGTGTCCTCAGCTCTGCCCTGGCCAGGGCCTGGATGTGGCACTGCCCACGAAGGCCATCTACTTCCCTCTGAAGCTCCTGCTCAGTCTGAGAGGCCTGGAGATAGGTGGGGTTGGGAGGGCAGTGGAGAGGGGGAAGGCAGTGGGGTCCTCAGCTGGCCTAAAACTCAACACCAAGCCCAGAGCATCCCCCTAACTGGGACCCAGGATTGTGGGTAGGTAAAGGCTTTCCCACCTGGGCCAGTTGCTGGCTGAGCCGTAGGTTCTGCTCGCTGAGTTCGCCGAGGGCCTGTGCACGCTCTCGCCCGCTGTCCTGCTGCTCTGAGCGCTGTTCCCCCAGCTGGGCCCGCAGAGCCTCCATGTCCCCCTCCAGCTCCACAGCCCTGGCCTCCCACTCAGCTCCCCGTGCTGCCAGGCTCTGGCGGAGCTCATGGTTCTCCTGCTGCAGTCGCTGTGGTGGCCAGGATAGATTGGAGGGTTAGAGACGAGAGGGAGAGATGAGACTGGAACAGAGACAGAGACCTAAAGAGAGTTTGGTGGAGTCTGAGACAGGCATGAAAGAGAGACAAGGGAGGAAGCAGGCAGAGAGAGCAAGATGCAGAGACTCAGAGAAAAGGAGAACTGGGGGGCACAGAAGAGGGAAGTTTCCAGGCCCGCCAGGAGGGTCTGAGCCCCGCTGGCCATGGGGTGGGCTCCCTCATACCCACTCACCTCTTGCTGCTGCTTGGGCTTCTGGACCCGAGGTTGCAGGCGTCGTTTCTGGTACCTTAGTCTGGCAGAATTTAAGCCCCGACCCATGGCCTTACACAACTAGGGTCTGGAGGTTCAGCTTCTGCCCAGCCCTGCTCAGTCCCTCTCCCCCAGCTCCTCCCAGCCAGCTCCCTTTAATTAACCCCGGCCAGCCCCACCTGGGCCCCATGCCTTTGCCTTCCGTCCCCAAAACCTGTCCAACTTGTATGAAGACAAGGCTGGCACACCCAAGCGTCCAGCTTGGGGAAGCAGGCAAGTTGGGGGGCCAGCCTCTGGCCCTTACTCTCCTTAGTTTCTCAAAGCAGGAAGGTAATGCTAACCATACTTGCTAGTTATTGGCAGTACTCCTGCCAGGTCCTGTGCTAGCGCTTTATCCGTACCATTTCATTTAACCCACTCGAGTTAGAATCATGAATGTCCTCATTTTACAGATGAAGAAATGGGCTCAGGGAAGTGAAATGCTTTGCCCAAGGACACACAGTGAATTAATGGAGCAGGGATTCCAGCCCAGGCAGCCAAGCTCTTAACCAAATACTGTGAGGGCAACACATCTTTAGGGTTAAGCCCACAGGATTGGGATGCAATTGTCCTGGCTACTGCCCAGCTCTGCTGCTGCTGCTTTGTGGTCAGACAAGTCACTTAATATTGCCATGGCCAGCCCATCCATCCATCTATCCATCCGTCCAATATTTCCTGAGCTCCTTCTCTTCTGAGGTCTGGATGTCAGCAGTCAGTGAGACCACCAAGTTCCCTGCCTAAAACAGCTTAGAGTCCAGAGGTCTTAGGCAAATAGATACATGCTTGAACTAGGTAGTTTGGGGAAGACAGGGCTGTAAAAAAGCCCCTGGAAAGTGATGGAGAGGGGGTGGGGTGGAGGCTCCCTAAGGAGGAAGTGAGGTCTGAACTGACTCCTGCAGGGCAAAAAGCGGGGGGGGGGGGGGGGTTAAATGCAAGGAAGAGTAAGTGCAAGGCCCAGAGGGAACAAATTTAGTTGCTCAAAGAACTGAAAAGAGGGCCTTCCCCTTACAGGAAGGGGGGTAAGGTGGGCTGAGGTCAGGGACTTTTAGGCTCTGGTAAGAAGCTTGAGTTTCATTCTAAATGTGATAAAGAGCCATTGGGAGATCATGAGCAAGGTCTGAAATAATCTGATTTGCCATTTTGGAAGATCCCTTTGGCTGCCCCATAGACAATGGGCTCCAGGGAGCAAGGGTAGAAACTGGGGACCAGTGAGGAGGGCACTGAAGTGTCTGGGGCAGAGATAAGAGAGGCTGCGGCCAGACTGGAGGCTACTGGAATAGTGAGCGGGTAGCTTCAGAATCCGGTGAAGAATCAGGTGTGGGAGAAGAGGTCATGGCAATGCTTAGGGTCTGGTCCTGAGCTGAGAAACTGAGATGGATACAGTGCATGGCAGGGCCATAACGAAGAGTGCCACTGATGTGGAGATGCCCATTCAATGGCCTGTTGGAGAGCTACAGGGTGGTCAGCTACCCAGGCTAGGCTATCCCTGGATCCAGGACTTAGTGGTGTCCAGGGTGTTTAGGGGCCAGATGTGACCCCTGTGTGGCTGACAACAGAACATGGGGAGACGGAAGAATTGTTCCTACCTCAAAGGCTGGGTGAGAATTGACCGAGATGATGCATGGAAAGTACTTAGTCCAGAGCCAGGTGGGGAGGGGGTGCCCAGTAATGTTGGCTGGGGTCGCATTATACTTCTGAGGAGGTGGACCCAAGACTCAGAGAGGGCTAGCAGCTTGCCCAAGGCCACACAGCCAGGCAGCAGTCTGAATCCAGGTCTTATCCTCAGAGCCCATGTTCTTAACCACTAACAACATTGCCAGGGAAACTAGGCCCAGGCCTAAACTATTCCAGAAATATCCCCATTTGGTTTTCTGCTCCCTGCTCACCTGTCCGCCATCTGCCCACCCCTGCGCCCTGCCCGCCACCCCTGCTGCCAACTCACTTCCTCACGTTCAGAGTGCTGGGTGCTCAGCATCTCCAGCTGCTGTTGCAGCTCCTCGTTGCGCTCCAGAAGCATCTTGCCAAGCTCTGCGGCCAACAGCAAGTCTTTCTCCTTCTGCTGCAGCTGCAGGGCCAGGTCCTCGTGCTCCTGGGGCCCTGGGCCCCCTCCCAGGAATGACTCCCGCCGCTCCAGGACGAAAGGAAAGAAGCCCTCATCGCAGCTTGGGGAGGTGCCGCCTGAGAGCAGCCCTGATTGGAAGCTTGGCCCTTCCGGGGAGCTCATGGTTCTTGCAGCGTCTGTGGGGACAGGTAAGTCTGTGGGACAGGTAGCTGCAGGATATTTTACTCTGCAGCCTGGGGTCTGACCTGTCCATCCTGTAATTCTTCACCTGCCCACTGGCCCTCCCAGTCCTTCAGCCAAGGCCTCCCTGGGCCATGAAGGGTTAATAATCTGTGTCTTGGCCATTTAGCTCCGTTAATGTCCCCAGGGTAAACTGAGGCAGGGAGAAGCAGGAAATGGGCTTCCCTGCCTTCTGCCTCTGGCAGACATTCTCTGCCCCCAGAGAACCTAGTCCCAGTGCTCTGGGACACAGGCCACTCTGCTGACAGTCCCTGCCTCCCTCTTTCTATTGTAGAATCTAGCTCTAAGCCCCTTACCAGCTATGAAACTCCCTAGAACCCAGATGCTGAGGCGCTAAGGATTCAGGGACAAGACCAGACCCTTCTCCTTCCAAGAATATAGGGGGCCTTGGGAACTTAGGTACCCTGACCCCTTAGCTCCCAGCTCTCCAGCCCCCTTCTCCAAGTCCCCATCTCCTCAGGACTCAGCTACCCTCCCAGGTATCCTGGTCCTGTTCTCCTATTTTCTCAAGACCCAGGTGTTTTGTCCCCCACTTGTCAGAACTCAGGTGCCCAGACACTTAGCTGTCACCTCTGGAGTTTCCCAGGGCCCAAGCAGGGCGAGGTAACAGGTTGTGCCAGCCACTGCTGCCCTGCCAATCCAGGTTCCTGTTTACTCCCTGGCCCGCCCCTGGTGACAGGAGCCTGGTGGCACTCCCCTAGGATCTCCCAGGGCCTGGCAGTTCAGGGACTCCAGACAGAGGGGACACATGGGGCTTCCCTGGCACACTCCTGCTCTCCTGGTCCTCTGGGGTACCCCCCGCCCCGTACTCTGGGTACCTCCCAACACATACACTTGTCCCTCTTTTCTCCCCTCACCAGGTGTCCAAGCCCAGCCTTACCAGTAAGACCCAGGTGTCCCAGCAGTCCAAGCCCATCTGCCCTCAGGCTGCACCCCTCCTTGACATGGTCCCTGGGGCCCGACCCCCGCTCTGGAGACCCAGGGGTGTCCCCTCCTTCCCCCTCCCCACACCGAGTTGCCATTTAGTGCCACCGCCTTCCTTCCTGCTGGTATTCTGTGCTTTTGGGCCCCAGGAGTCCAGCCCGGAGCCTACATCCCCCAGCCAACAGCACCAACACCCCCCCAGGCCCCCGTCGTTGTCCCTCCTGTAGCTTGTAGGGTCCTGGTCCTCAGCGCCCTCTAGGTTCTCACCCCCGGATGGCGGGCTCCTGCCGCGATCCCTCCGGTCTCCGATCCCTTCTTCCGGAGGTGGTGCCAGGTACACCTTCTACAGGTGAGGGGGCGGTGCTGTGGGCGGGGCTGTGTCGCCCCCTGGTGACCGGAATGGGAAGGACAGTCACCTCAACCCAGGTCAGAGGCACTGACCCATTTAGCTGCGGTCAGAAACTGGGTGCATTAACTGAGCACCTACTGTGTGCAGACTCTGAGCTGAGCATTGATGTCAGCTCCTTCCCCCTCACAACTGTCCTATGGGATAGAAAATTATTTTCATTTGTTTATATATTTTCCTTTATTTTTCAATTACAGTTGACATATACTGTTAGAAGGGGGACCCTCTTAAAATTGAAATTATCTTCTGGAGGGTGGGCGCCTTGTAGTACAGGCTTCCTTGGCTAGGTGAGTGTTCTAGGACCCCATCTGTATCAGTGTGCCAGTTGGTGCTGTTGTGAGAGGGGGTGTTTGGCTTCAGTGAATTGTTTTTGAAGACTGTTACAACACATTTGCCCATTTCATGATGGCTGATTTACAGGCACACCTGCCCACACTGTGCTGAGTGTTCAGCAGTTTTCGACCAAAAATGGCATGACCCTTATGCCCCACCTTCTCTGTTCACCCGATCTCATCCTGAGCAACTTTTTTGTTTCCCTGGTTGACAGAAGTCCTCAAAGGAAACATTTTGCTGATGTGGAAGAAGTGAAACAAAAAATGGTAGAAGCACTAAAAGGCATCAAAATCGATGGTTCAAAAACTGTTCTGAGCAGTGGGAAAAAGTCTCAATAGGTGTATTGCACCAGTTGGGAGTACTTTAAAGATGACTGAAGTTTAAATATGTAAGAGTAAGCACACAATGTTTTATGAATAAATTCTGGGTTTCTTGGGTCCTTCCTCATCTGTTAGTATCAGGTGTACAACATAGTGGTTAGACATTTGTGTGCCTTATGAAGCGTTCAGCACAAGTGTAGTGCCCACCCGGCACCACTCATTGAAATTACAACATTATTGACTGTGTTCTCTCTGCTGTGCTTTACATCCCCATGACTGTTTTTATAGCTGGCAATTTGTACTTAATCTCTTTCACCTTTTTCTCCAATCCCTCTCCCATCTGGCAACCATCAGTTTGTTCTCTGTGTCTATGAATGTGTTCCTTTTTTTGTTTGTTCATTTATTTTGTCTTTTAGATTCTACATATAAGTGAAATCATATGGTATTTATCTTTCTCTGACTGACTTATTTCACTTAGCATAATACCCTCTAGGTCATTCATGTTGTTGCAAATGGTTTAAGATTTCATTTTTTTAAGTGGCTGAATAGTATTACACTGTATGTAAATACCACCAATTCCTTATTCATTTGCCTATTGATGGACATTTAGGTTGTTTTCATATCTTGCCTATTGTAAATAATGCTGCAGTGAACATATAGGAATGTATTTTTTCAAATTAGTGTTTTGGATTTCTTTAGATAGGTACCCAGAAGTAGAGTTGCTGGGTCATATGGCAGTTCTATTCTTAAGTTTTTGAGGAACCTCTATCCTGTTTTCCGCAGTGGCTGCACCGATTTGCAATTCCGCCAACAGTGCACAAGGGTTCCCTTTGCTCCACATCCTCACCAACAGTTGTTCTTTGTTGTTTGATTGATGATGGCCATTCTGAAAGGTGCGAGGTGACATCTCATTGTGGCTTGGGATAGAAAATGTTAACAATGGCAGTAACAACAAATCTAACACATACTAAGCGCTCTGCTAAGCCAGCTCTTCTCTAGGTACAACTTGTTGACATCCTAATGAAACAAACTATTATCTCCATCTTACACAGGAGGATGCTGAGGCTCAGGCAGGGTCTAACTTGCTTGGGTCACATGGACCAAGCTTGAATGTGACCTTTGAATGCACGCTCTTATACTGATTCCCATGCCACGGAAGAGGACAGCTAAAGTGACGTGCCCATGTGGTTCCCAGCATGGGGCTGTGCAGAGCTGGGTGCCGTGCTCCAGCTGGGGACAGAAGTCTTGGAATGGAGACTGGAGGACCCAGGGCTGGTTCCAGGGTCCAGCCCCATGCAGCCTGGGCATGCGGGCATTGCCCCAAGTATGGCCTGTGGCTTGTCACAAGTCTCCTCAGGCTTCCAGATCTCCTGGGTCCTGGTGAGCAGGGACAAATGGAAAGCTGGAAGCAGTGGTGTGCTGGTAACTATTTAACAACAGGCTGTCTGGGTGGGGGGGACCTGGATTTGTTGCATTTGCCAGTTTCTGTGGTGTAAGTATTCCCTCCACGGCTGAGTTCAGGCTAAGCTGCTGACATGACGTGGTTGAAGGTGAAGATGGGCAGAAGTGTGCCTAACCAGCTTTTCCAGCCGGTACCAGTGGATCCTGTACCCCTCTAGCTGGGGGTCAGGGTGCTTGAGTCAGGAGGAACAAGGACCTATTTGGCAGGATCTTAGAAAAATGGGAGGAAGACAGGATCTGGGACTACTGATTTGTGGGGAGATGTGTGCAAGGACTCCTTGTGTTACAGAACAGACACAGGCGGGGGAACGATATACTGTCACTGAAAGGAGTCCCCACTAGTTTCGCTGTGCCTGCCACCAGAGGAAAGACGTCTCTCAATGCCAGAGATTTGTGAAAAGGAAAGGAAATATTTATTTAAAGCTTATACAGACTTAGAGTAATGACTTCATGTCTTCATTAAAATACTAAAGTCCTTTAGGATACCCACAGACACACACAGTCCTTCCTTCTCCCTCTGCCCTCGTCTGGGGTACCGTATCTCAGGAAAAGAAGCATACATCCGTGCTTTGGGTCCCGGCACCGTCAGCTGCGTCACCACCAAATCTCCAGTTAATACAAAGCCATGTGGCACCTTCTCGTGGCCCACCAGCAAGAGTCCTTTCACCTTTTTTTCTCCAGGCAAAGTCTTTTCTGCTTCCTAAGCCACATGGCGAAAGGGAGCACCCCAAAGCCACGTGGTCCTCATTCTTACCAAAGCTGCAGGGGCCCCCACTCTGCCAAAGCAGCTTGGTTCTCTCCTCAGTGGCTGCTGTGTCTTGGTTTAAATCCCAGCACCAGTCTTCCTCTGCAGTCCCATTTCCGACTCCTCCCACAATCGGCTACACCTGCCAGGACTCTAATATCCTTCCAGCTTTTCTGGGCTGCCATAGTGAGTCCGGACAGGCGTAGCCCCATGGCATGGAGCCAACCTTCTCCAAGCTCTCATGCAGGCACTGTAACCAGGGGGAGCTGCCCGCCAGTTACATCTTGGGTGGAAGTCACTTCTATTCTTCTGGCTCAAAGCATAGCCACAGCCATTTAATATATCCATGAAATCAGTTAAGGGTTGCAGATATGTTAAATGACCATGCCAGAGGTTGGCTGCAAAGCTGTTACTGTACAAAATAGCTCTGCATGTTCCTGCTCCATGTGTCCCTTCCCCTGACTCAGTCCTGTGGTGGAGAGTGGTGAGGACATTGTATATGTTTTTCTAATATTTCCTGGACCCCATTCCAAATCCCTATTTGGGCCCCCCCCCCTCTTGGCTGCACCCTGTTACACTTGGAGAGGTGTTTTAGGGGCTGGCGTTCCTGAGTTCTGGGGCTGAGCCCAGTTTCCTGCCCCGACAGAGTAGAAGGGCCAATTCCTTTGCAAAAGGGTCTGAGGGGACGACCTTGCCTAGCAAGGCCTCCGTCTTCTCCCATGGCATCTGTGGGGACAGTTCGGTGGACTTTGCAGGGCTAGAATCACCCCACCCTCCCTTTGGTGCTGCCCCCTGACCCACTCCAAATGCCAGGGCCACCTTGGGCCCCACCCACACTCATGCACACTCAACCCTGAGCCCTCCTGCTGTCCAGCAGGCGGCTGGGCTCATCTGGAGATGAAGTGGTCAAGGCCTGGCTCCCAAGAGGTTCACAGTCCACCCAGGAGCTGGGTTGGGTGTCAGCCCATAAACCATAAATGAACCAATAAAGTAGAATAGCAAAGGAGCCTGGCTTGTGGGCACGACATCTTATAGCCTCAGTCCGGGTCCCAGTTTGGCCACTTATCAGCTATGCGTGCCTGTGTAGTTCAGTTGATTAACCTCTGCGGCCTTGTTTCCTCATCTATAAAATGGGGGTAACAGCTCTTAGGGGGTAACACCTCACAATCGTAGGATTGTGAGGATTAAATGAGGGTGGAGGACAAACATTTAGGCCATGCTAATGATTCTCAGCTTGGCCACAAGAGGTGTCTCACCACCCCATGATATGATGCATTTTACCCTCAAAGCCATTTGATGAGATCATCCATTCAAACAGGAAACCAGCTCAGGGAGGTGATGTGATTGGCTTGTGCCTACGTGGCAGACCCTTGCTCCCAGCCCTAGTCACACTTTGGGCCTTTGCATCTGGCCCTCAGCCTCCCTGCTGATCCCAGGAGGAAGGTGGATAGGAAGAGACAGAGTGGCCCCAGAGAAGCCCTGGGGAGGCTGGGGTATGTCTAGGTAAGGGAGGTGATGTCGACCCAGCCGGCACATGCTCTCCAGCTGGCACCCAGACAAGCTGGCTTCCTGGAGCCTCTAGGCCCATACTGAGCATGGAATGCTCTCCTCACCTTCCCAGCCCCTGCTGGGCCTCTAGTGTTCCAAGCCTCAGCTTGTGGTCTCCTCCTTGGGGAAGCTTTCCGAGACCTCACCGGCCGTGGGCAGTCTACGTGGGGTATCCAGAGGCCAGCAGAATGCTCCACTGCCTGCCCTGCCCCCACTATCAAGGGGACCCAATGGGAATGGCACAGTTCCAGACTGAGATGCCCTCAGCTTTTACGACGTATGCAAAGTCTGTGAATCATAAGTTATATTGTTGGAAGCATTTAGAAGTTTTATATAATATATTTCACAATGAGCCCTGGCTGGTGTGGCTCAATTGGTCAGGCATGGTCCCGCAGACCAAAAGGTCTCTGGTTCGATTCCCGGTCACAGCACAACTGGGGCTCAGTCCCTGGTTGGGGTGTGTTTTGGAGGGGACAGAAAGGTAAGCAATCAATGTTTCTCTCTTGCATCGATGTTTCTCTCCCTCTCTT